GGGGGGGGGGGGGAAAGTGTGATTTTGAACAGCCCCCCCCCCCCGCCCCGCTGGGGTTTTTCGTGAATATCTCAAAAATTGTTGCCACCGTTTTTGGTACACATCATAATGCATCTATTCTGCATGTGTTGTGAAAATTGCATACCAAGATCACTCAAGGTCAGGTCACCAGGTCATGTCAAATGACTTTAGTTACAAATAGAGCCTCGCCGAAAAAAACATCGTGTAGGTCGTTACGAGACGAAGCCAACGGTACCCGGTTTTAAGGTCATAGGTCAAATGGTGACCTCTGAGGTCAGTTCAATTACCCAAAAGTCGGGAAAACCGGGACCTGTTAGAACGTCGTAAAGTGTGGCTGTTATGGGGTTTTCCGGGGTGGTTATCTCGAATATCATATTAGTTTTGATCGCAATGATGTCTTCATGCATTAAGGTCAGGTCGGGTCAGGTCAGGTCAGGTCAACCAGTAGGTGTTCTGCCGGGTATTCGCGGTAGGTGTCAACCGTCTCTGTCAGCTTCATAACATGTTCCGAAATCCGAAGGCACCAAAACTACTTCGTACATGTTCAAATGGTCGCTAAATTCGAATTCAGCTCCAAAGAATAGCTAGCCTCGAAACATGTAAAACTCGAAAAGTGAGCCGAGGTCATCAAAGGTCAATGACCTGACCTGACCTTCAGGTGACTTTGATACCCACCCTAATGCCTGGGACCAACATCATATCACATTGTTTGAACGCTTGAAACCACGAAAAGACTGCAAACGCGCGGCTAATGCGAGCCGACATACTCCGAATCGCGATTCCGGCCAAACATGGTCTCGAAAAGTAGGTCACAGGTCAAAGGTCATTTGGGTCAGGGTCATGAAATTTTCATGATATGACCGTGTTCATGTAACTACGGATATTCTGGGCTCTCGAGAACGGAAGGGCTCTATTTTGAATACTGATGACGTCACATTTGTGTCGTGAGGTCACGAAAGGCCACAATTCCAAAGAGCCACACAATCTCATCCCCCCTCTCTCTCTCCCCCCAACCAATTGGTCGCGTTGTGATAGGTGTATATGTCAGCCTTTAGATAGGATTTTTGCGATACTTCATTTCCTCATTTGGTGTTTTACCTTTGTCTCAATGAATCAGGTACCAAGACGCCATGGCCATCGTGCGAGTGTACGGCAGGCCGACGTACTTCGTGACGTTCACCTGCAACCCAAACTGGCCTGAGATCCAGGCGGCGCTCCTGCCCGGCCAGGATGCGCAGTCCCGCCCCGATCTGGTGGCCAGGGTGTTCCACCTAAAGCTGAAGGCCCTGCTGAAGGAGCTCACCACCAGCGGCATCTTCGGACGCTGTGTCTCCATGCTGATGGTGGTCGAGTTCCAAAAACGAGGTGAGTAGGCACTAAAGGTTTGTGTTCGTGTGTGTGTGGGGGGGGGGGAGGAGGGAGTGTGAAGAAAACCAATACAGCTCATCATGCATCAATTTTACGTCGTGTGCATAATTTTAGCGCTCAGGTCACTTAGGTCAGGTCGAACTTACAAGTCTAAACCGCAAGATTTTTTTTCAGAATCGCAACATCTGCCCAGTTGCAATGAGCAAAGTGCAGCTTATGGCCAGCAGTGGCCCGAAAGGTCATGTTGGTTCATAAAAAGTCACCACATGACTTTGACCTGAAGTCAATTTTTTAAGGTCCTATTCTATCTCAATCGCCGCTTAAAACATTATTTACTTTCCCTGCAGGTCTGCCGCACGGCCATATCCTGGTCATCGTCCGGCAGGAGGACCGCCCGCGGACTGCCGACGATGTAGACGCGGTGATCACGGCGGAACTGCCCGACCCAGCCAGGTCAGACCAGGCGCGCCGCCTGCACGAGATCGTGGTGAGTACCATGGTACACCGCCAGTGCGGCGCCGCCAACCCGACGGCCGCCTGCATGGATGGCGGCCGCTGCTCCAAGGGCTTTCCCAAGCCGTTCGCCAACGAGACAGAGTGGCGGGATGACCATCCGTACCCTGTCTACAGGCGGCGACCGGCAGCCGAGGGCGGCCAGGAGTTTGTGCGTGACGGGCGGCTCATCACCAACCAGTGGGTGGTACCCTTCTCTCCATACCTGTCCCTGAAATATGAGGCTCACGTGAACGTGGAGGTGTGCTGTTCGGTGCAGAGTGTCAAGTATCTTTTCAGGTACATCTACAAGGGCCCGGACCGCCAGATGGTGCGCGCTGACAACCTGATCGGCGGCGATGACGAGATCGCAGAGTACCAGGACATGCGCTCGATCGGTGCCAGTGAAGCCTGCTGGCGTCTGTTCGACATGCCGATGAGCCAGCGGCAGCCGAACGTGGTCGCTCTACAGGTGCACCTCGAGGATCACCAGCTGGTGTACTTCGAGCCGGGACAGGAGCGGCAGGCGGCTCAGGCCGCCCGACGCACCCATCTCACCGCCTGGCTGGAGTATAACCGGGAGTCGGCCGCCGCCGACCCGGACTGCCGCCGACTGCTCTACCCGGACTTCCCGTCGCGGTATACCTGGCAGGCCGGCCAGAAGGTGTGGCGCAAACGGCGCCAACAGCAGGCGGCAGAGGCAATCGGCCGCGTGGTGAGCCTCTCACCACGTCACGGCGACGTGTTCTACCTCCGCGTGCTGCTGCACCACGTCGCGGGGGCGGCGTCCTTTGAGGAGCTGCGCACCGTGGACGGCGTGGTCTGTGCCACCTATCGTGAGGCGTGCTGCCTGCGTGGCCTTCTGCAGGACGACCGCGAGTGGGAGGTGACGATGGAGGACGCGGCGCACGCACAGATGCCGGCTCAAATCCGGCGCCTCTTCGTGACGCTGCTGCTCTTCTGCGCACCAGCCGATCCGTCAGAGCTGTTCCGGCGTCACCTGGACGCCATGTCTGATGACTTCGGCCGTCGTCATCGCGACCTGCCGGACGAGCTGCGCGCTGCACTAACACTGGTGGACCTGGAGCGGCAGCTACAGCAGGCCGGCAAAGAGCTCCGAGACTTCGGTCTGCCGGAGGTGACGCCCGATCAGCGGGCGCGGGCAGCTGAGCTGCAGCAGGCCGCCGAGCTGCGCCAGCTGCCGCGGCTCATTCAAGAGGAGCTGGAATATGACGCAGCAGCGCTCAGAGACCAGGTGGCCATCCAGCTGCCCACTCTGCTGCCGCCGCAGCGCCACGTCTTCGACCTGGTAATGACGGCCGTCGACGGGCGGCGTCCGCTGGCCGTGTTCGTGGACGCCGCTGGTGGCACCGGAAAGACGTACGTCTTCAACACGCTGCTGGCGGCGGTGCGCTCGCAGGGTATGGTAGCGCTCGCAGTGGCCTTCAGTGGAATTGCTGCCACTCTGCTGGACGGCGGGCGCACATACCACTCGCGTTTCAAGGCACCGCTGCAGGTGGACGCGACATCAACGTGCGCCATCAGCGCGCAGAGCCCGCTGGCGGAGCTCATCCGACGGACGGCGCTCATCGTGTGGGACGAGGCCCCATGGCCCACCGTCACCACCTGGAGGCGTTCGACCGCACGCTGCGTGACGTCACTGGCAGCGAGGAGCCGTTCGGCGGAAAAGTCCTCGTGCTGGGCGGGGATTTCCGCCAAATTCTCCCAGTCATCAGGTAACTAACAACAACAGGCGTTCAGTGTGTATGAGAAAAAAATGTATATACAATTATAATAGCTGTGGTACGTTTGTTATTATTAGTGTGTAATTGAATGCAACTGATATAATGCTCTTCGGCCCAATCGCATTATTGCAGTTTAACATGTGAAATAAGTCGGAGCCATGAACATTCAACCGCTATGCCTTCAAAACGTATTCACTCATTTATATCGATGCCAGCGTCGTAAACACACTGCCGCAGCGGATTGATCGTAGACCGCATGCTTTGTGGTTTCTTTGGCTTCGCCCTGGTGGGAGGGGCTTTTTGACCACACTCGCCAGTTTACACTCACACTCGCCCACACAGTGAGCCCAGTAAAGAAATATGGGCTAAATTTGCTATGGCCGAAAATAAATCCATTGTGCATCGTGTGAGTTATTTCTTACATCCGGTCACATAAGGTCAACAGGTTCCAGATTAAGATTAAGACGGGTCATCCAGCAGTTTTTGCGATAACTTTAAGTAAACATGTTAGAGCGATGCAAACACGTTAGTCAGATGGATTCAGTTAAACGATACAAATTGACAGTTATTATGACACATGACCTTTACCGGTAGGGTCACGACCTCGACCCTAGGTCAGATTTTGTAGTCGGTCTTTTGAGGTGAGATTATGCTTCATTTGACGCGTCTCAACGAGCGGAATGCGTCGCTGATAAAATCGACAATACAACCTTGATGAAAAGTTTCGCAGAAAAACGGTTCCCGAAAAAATTTATGCTTTAGTTTTTCCCCTGTGGCTTAGACCCCCACCAGGGCGCCGGCTAAGCAGCCATTTCTTAGCATTAGTGGCCGTCTCGGCGCGTTTTTATATGCATATTATTGTCCGTTTCAGGCACGGTACCCGCGCACAGGTGGTGGACGCCTGTCTGCGACGGTCAGCGCTGTGGCGTCACTTCATTGTGGCGCCGCTGCTGGAGAACATGCGGGCGCGGCGGGCAGCCGGGCCGGACGGTCCAGAGCTGCGGGCGTTCTGTGACTGGCTGCTCGAGCTGGGAGAGGGACGCGCAGAGGGCCCCGAGGATGGGTTTGTTCAGCTGCCCCCGCACCTGGTGATGGACGCCGATATCGACGCTGTCATTGACTGGGTGTTTGATGACCTGGCAGGGCGACACGGCGACCGGGAGTGGATGGCGTCGCGGGCTGTGCTCGCGCCGCGAAACACTCGGGTCGACGAGCTGAACGCCGCAGTCACCGAGCGCTTCCCCGGAGAGGCCGTCCGCCTGCTGAGCGCCGACAGTCTGGTGGAGGAGGCCGAGCAGCTGGATTCCACATGAGTATCTAAACACTCTGTGCGCTCCCGGCTTCCCACCTCACTGCTTGATGATCAAGCCAGGCATGCCACTCATGCTACTTCGTAATCTGTCCGCCACTGACGGACTGTGCAATGGCACGCGACTTATCGCTGGTCGTATCATCAGCCCGCGACTCATGGAGGCCACCATCGCCTGCGGCAAAAACGCCGGAAGGCAAGTGCTTATTCCACGGCTCCCACTCCAGCCCCCGGATGACGCGTTTCCCTTCCGCTGGGAGCGTCGCCAGTTCCCCGTGCGGCCAGGTTTCGCCATGACGGTGAACAAAGCCCAGGGGCAGACGCTCGGTCGGGTCGCGGTCTTTCTGGAGGAGCCAGTATTCAGCCACGGGCAGCTGTACGTGGCTGCATCGCGGGTCGGCCGGCCGGCGGATCTGAGGATCGCGCTGCCCAGAGGTGGCCAAGGCGCAACACCCAATGTGGTGTACACGGAGGTGATGGGCCGAGGTGATGGCCGGTAGATCAGCGGGTCGCAGAGGCGACGGGTAGCCAGAGCGCTACGAGCAACGTGGAGAGGAGGAGCGAGGAGCAACGAGGAGAAAACGGCCGGCCGACCGTGATGCAGGACGGATCAATCCTGGCGAGCCAATGCGCCGCCAAGTGGAAAATTTACACATTAACATAATGCCGCAACTGGCTTTGGTGACCTCCAATGCGCGAGCGCAACTTATATTTTGAGGAAATCAATGTATCGAGTGGCATGTTATAAAACATGTTTGATATGCTCTGATGATATATTTGATATTTGATGATATATTTTGATATTTGAGATCACATCTAACAATGGGCGTTTGCCTCCAGCTATACGATCGGCTGCGAGTAGCACACACCGAGTACTTTCGGGGGGCCTTATTGCCGCTGCCCACGGCCGCCGTGTCTTCCCTCACCAGAGGTGTGCGCTCTGCACCCGGTGAGGGGTCTCGGGCGTTAAATAGAGACGCAACCCGATGTGGCAGCCTCCACGCGGCGGGTTGCGGGGTAAAAGCTAATAGCCACACGGAGCGACACGTAAGTATTTCACTGTTGTATTCACTAGATTTGATTACGTTGCAGAAACATGTCATGTGCTGTCACCTGCGCACTGCAGCTGCTTCCACTCCTTATCACGGCATGGCTTAGTGTCAGCCCGGAGGAAGACAAGAGGACGCACGAGCGCTGCGCTGGATTCTCCGACAGCATCTTCTTAGTCGCGATGGTGACTGATACAACCAGCGTCTTACGGGTAAGGCAAGAAATAAAGTATGGTTTGGTATGTGTTGAGTAGAGCTTCTGGGTAGGGTAGGGCAGTGTAGCGTATGGTAAGGTTGAGTGCATAAGGGGCCAGCATGCGAAGGACTCAAACAACCCGTAATCAGCACCAGCATACCATACAGTTTAAAGAATCAAATTTCACCTAACTCATACAAATAAAAATATTATACATCAAACTAATGGCCCCATTGAACAATAGCCATCGAAACGTACAGTTATCGCGTTCATCCATCCATCCATCCTGGGTAGGGCAGGGTATTGTAGTGTATGTTAAATTTGAGTGCATAAGGGCCCAACATCCGAAAGACTCAAACAACCCGGTAATCAGCACCAGCATACCATACAGTTCAATTAAAACCAAATGTCAAACTTCACATAGCTCATACAAATAAAAATATAACCTCATACACCCAAACTAATGCCCCCATTAACAATATCTATCGAATCTATACAGTTATCGCGCAAACATGGCCATCTAGTCTATATTATGATTATAACATGTCTGTACGACGTGCATCCGTGTGTCATGACTTATGTGTCTTATTGCGCCTGCAAGGCGCCGCGTAGCGACGTGAAATTTGGCATGTCGAATCTGTGGGCGTGGGCGGCCTTTGTATTAAAATTTGGGCGTGATCGGACCAGGGGTGCGCCGTCAGCACGCGCTCGCGTGCGCCATAGGGTTAACACGGGAAACGGTCAAAACGAACATCGTACGAAAACCGGCCTGCGGCGCCTGCTTCCCGGCTGTATAAGTCGGCAACGGGTGGGCGCAGCGAGAAGCGGTTTTCACCACTGGATAGAGGAGAGATGGAACTAGCGTATTGACATGGTTTCATAGTACAGCACGCGACACGTGCAAGGTAAAACCCACGGTTGTGAAAAAATGACCGATTTCGTGCATTGTGGAGAGAAAATCGATGCTGCTGGAAAACGGCTTGACGGAATGAAATCGGTGTTGTATCATTTTGTAGACAAATGTATGTGTAATCAGAGAATAGCAAACAAAAACTGATGATCCGTACCATTTCCTTAATAATGAAAAATTAATTTGAAAATTTGATTCGCGCGTAGCGCGACGTCCTTTACAACATCAAAACGTATTGAAAACGCTGATCAATCGCTATGAAACCTACATATTCGGAAAGAGCATTCTTTTCTGACCAATATCCACCCAAAATATTATCGAAAAGTCAATAAACTTTTGTGAAAATGACTCAAGCATGTGACCGTGTTTTGTTAACGTTACCGGTATTTTTCGACAAAATCCGATCGATGGCTTATGGCCGGCAAGTCATTCAACTTTTGACAATAGCTATCAAAGCATGGGCTGCAATGCACCGCCCGCCAAGGGGAATCCCAAACACTGAAAATAAGCGCCTACCAGTAAACAGCACATTTTTGTACTAGGAATAACTCAGCTGCTACTGGGCCGATTGCGCTGAAACTTGGACTGTGGGTGGAGGGGGCACTCATCTGGCGATGCATGGTCATGTGTGACAGGTAGGGTGGATCGATTGCACGTGCGCACGTGAGGGGTCCGCTTCTACATCTCAAGAACGGCTGGGCCGATTTCTCTCAAATTTTGTATACTGATAGGAACAGTTTAGAAAGGTGGCTGGCACAAGTCATCTGGAGTCTCAGCGCGTGCGCACGTGCAGTGGGCCAGTTTGATATCTCAAGAACGGCTGGGCCGATCGCGCTCAAATTTGGTACGTTACTTTAATCGAGTATGAGAAGGGTAACTACGTGTAGGTTATGAGTAAGGTAGGGTGGTGGGTAGGGTAGGGTAGGGTAGGGGGTAGGGTAGGGTAGGGTAGGGTAGGGTAGGGTAGGGTAGGGTAGGGTAGGGTAGGGTAGGGTAGGGTAGGGTAGGTAGGTAGGGTAGGGTAGGGTAGAGGTAGGGTATGTATATTTGTAGGTTATGTTAAGTTTGAGTGCATAAGGGCCCAACATCCGAAAGACTAAAAACCCGGGTAATCAGCACCAGCATACCATACAGTTCAGTTAAAACCAAATGTCAAACTTCACCTAGCTCATACAAATAAAAATATAACCTCATACACCCAAACTAATGCCCCCATTAACAATATCTATCGAATCTATACAGTTATCGCCCAAACATGGCCATCTAGGCCATGTTTGGGCGATACGGCGCACCCCTGATCGCACCAGGGGTGCGCCGTCAGCACGTGCAAAAGGGTGCTCTCATACGGTTAACACGGGGCTGGCTGACATGCAGATCGGACGAAAATTGGGCCTGCAGCGCTCCTTTCCCGAGCTTTTACTCGGCGAAACGAGGTCGTAGAGACATGCGGTTGCCACCACTGGATAGAGGAGAGATGGGCCTAGCGTATTGATATGGTTTCATAGTATAGCACGCGCCACGTGCAAGATAGCACCCCCGGTTGTTAAAAAATGACCGATTTCATGCATTGTGGGAAGAAAACCGATGTCGCTGGAAAACGGCTTGACGGAATGAAATCGGTGTTGTATCATTTTGCAGACAAATGTACGTGTAATAATAGGAAAGCAAATAAAAAGTGACGATCCGTACCATTTCTTTAATATTGAAAAATTAAATTAAAAATTTATTTCGCGCGAAGCGCGATGTCCTTTACAACATCAAAACGTATTGAAAACGCTGATCAATCGCTATGAAACCTACATATTCGGAAAGAGCATTCTTTTCTGACCAATATCCACCCAAAATATTATCGAAAAGTCAAAAAACTTATGTGAAAATGACTCAAGCATACGACCGTGTTTCGCTAGCGTCACGCTGTTTACGAAGGAATTTTAATTGATTGCGTCGATAAAGAAAAGTACCACAGCCCGCCCGGGAATCGAACCCGGGACCTAAGAGCTTAAAGCCGGATGCGCTACCGATCGCGCCAGAGCGGACTGACCTGATTGAGCTCCAATACCGGAGTAACTCAGATCTCGGTAACGATATGACGGAAATTTTAATATGGAGAGAGCAAGTGTTTTACGCATATAACTCATATGATTCCTTATATAACATTTTAGATATTTAAGTAGGTACACTTCAAGCTAAAATTTTATTTGCATAGCGTGAGAGATTTATTTATGAAAACTTGATCAAAATTTTAGTTCCCTTTTTAGCCACGACCTTGATTTGTCGCATAGCAACGGGACACGCAACAATGGTAAACAATTTCAGCAAGAGCAGTCTGTGAGTGAATGCACCACAGGCTCGAGTAATATGTTTCGCTGTTGGGATGACTATTGACTTTTCGAGAGGCGATCGTTTGAGTGAAATTTTGCGCCTATTTGTGCGTATGATCTGCGCTCACTTGATTGTCTCAGTAAGCCCTGATGTGAATTTCCTTGCTCAACGGCTGATCATTGAAACTTTGCGAGGAGTTATTTGATTGAGTAATTCGAGTCATTCGGGTAGATACCATACCTGCCGTTAGCTTGATTACTCATAAGTTGTCCAAAAGCATCATCTACTGTCTGCACTTTTACCCAGCTAACTTAGACAGCCATGCCGCGTCATGACCGTGGCAGTGCTGCTCGGGCGGCAAATGCCGCGGCCCAGCGCCGGCGGCGTGAACGGATGGCTCAGGCCAGGAGGGAGGCCGAGGCGCTCCGTAACGCCGAGCGGGAAAGACAGCGACGGGCGGCCTTCGATGAGGGCACAAAGAGAAGCGGACGCCGAACGGCAGCGACAGCGGCGGGCCGCCATGGATGACGCTGAGAGAGAAGCGCACGCTGAACGGCAGCGACAGCGAAGGGCTGTCATGGATGACGCCGAGAGAGAAGCGGACGCTGAAAGGCAGCGACAGCGGCGTGCCGCCCTCGATGACGCTGGGCGCCTGGCAGAGGCCGAGAGGCAGCGACAGCGACGGGCTGACATGCCCAACGAGGTACGTGACGCGGAACGGGCGGCCGACGCGAGGGGCCACATGGAGGGGCGCCGCAGAGTCGACCGGGCCAATCGAGCCGCCTGTGACGCCGACTCTGTGCTGTCCGGTCGCCAGCCGGTGGCCAGGCTCGACACGGGGGCACGCGACACGGTATGTCCGCACTGCGGCGCCCTCCTCTGGCGAGAGGAGCGGGCCACTCTGTGCTGTTCGGGGGGAAAGGTAAACCTAGATCCCCTGCCCGCCCCGCCACCGCTGCTCCGTGAACTGTGGACGGGCGACACGCTGGAGGCACGCACATTCAGACAGCACTCCCGGCGCCTGAACACGGCGCTGTCGCTGGCGTCTATGATGACACGGGAGGTGAGGCCGGCGGACGGTGGGTATGCACCATCAGTGATCATTCAAGGTAGGTTGTACCACCGCGTCGGTCCGCTGCAGGCCAGAGACGGGGAGCGGCCGTCGTTCGCCCAGATTTATGTGAATGACCCGGACTGTGACGACCCGGCGGCCGAGGCCGCGCTGCGTCTAGGACACGTGCCGCTGCCCCGCGGCACCCGGGAGCCGGAGCGGGCGCGCCTGCTGACGCTGCTCGAACAGCTGCAGGTCCTGCTGCGTCAGGTAAATCCCTATGTGCAGGACTTTATCCACGCCGCCGAGCTGCCGGAGGAGGAGGTTCAGCAGAGACTGGTGGTAAGTGCCGACGCCCGCCCGGCCGACCAGCACCCCCGACGGTACAACCGCGCCGAGGGGTTCCGGGAGGTGGCCGTGCTGATGGACGAGGAGCCCGTCCATCAGGACATCGTGCTGCGTCGCCGTGCCGATGCCGAAGGTCCGTTCCTCCAGACGGTAAATGAGACGCACCGGGCGTTTGAGGCTCTGCACTTTGTGCTCCTTCTGCCGTTTGGCACAGACGGCTGGCAGCCCGACCTACGGCAGGCGGTGGCAAACGGGCGCGGGGACGTGAGGGGCGTGTCGCTGATGCAGTACTACGCTCATCGGCTGCAGCTGCGACCCGACCTCGATGACTCACTGTTCCGCGCAGGACGCCTGTTTCAGGAGTACGTGTGCATGGCTTTTGCGCGCGTAGAGACCCAGCGTCTGCTGTACCTGGCTCGGAACCAGGCCGGCCTGCGTGCCGAGCTGTACCAGCGCCTCCAGGACGCGCTGCCGGGGGACGCCGAAAGGGAGCTGGCCGGCGGAGACCGCGTCGGTCAGCGTGTCATCCTGCCGGCTTCCTTCACCGGCGGGCCCCGGTACTACCAGCGCAGGTGAATTATTTACGAGCGCGTTACATTGCTTATTATGTAGAAATCGGTTGTTGAATCAAATGTTTAACCCGTGCCCTGTTGGGGGGGGGGGGGAAAGTGTGATTTTGAACAGCCCCCCCCCCCCGCCCCGCTGGGGTTTTTCGTGAATATCTCAAAAATTGTTGCCACCGTTTTTGGTACACATCATAATGCATCTATTCTGCATGTGTTGTGAAAATTGCATACCAAGATCACTCAAGGTCAGGTCACCAGGTCATGTCAAATGACTTTAGTTACAAATAGAGCCTCGCCGAAAAAAACATCGTGTAGGTCGTTACGAGACGAAGCCAACGGTACCCGGTTTTAAGGTCATAGGTCAAATGGTGACCTCTGAGGTCAGTTCAATTACCCAAAAGTCGGGAAAACCGGGACCTGTTAGAACGTCGTAAAGTGTGGCTGTTATGGGGTTTTCCGGGGTGGTTATCTCGAATATCATATTAGTTTTGATCGCAATGATGTCTTCATGCATTAAGGTCAGGTCGGGTCAGGTCAGGTCAGGTCAACCAGTAGGTGTTCTGCCGGGTATTCGCGGTAGGTGTCAACCGTCTCTGTCAGCTTCATAACATGTTCCGAAATCCGAAGGCACCAAAACTACTTCGTACATGTTCAAATGGTCGCTAAATTCGAATTCAGCTCCAAAGAATAGCTAGCCTCGAAACATGTAAAACTCGAAAAGTGAGCCGAGGTCATCAAAGGTCAATGACCTGACCTGACCTTCAGGTGACTTTGATACCCACCCTAATGCCTGGGACCAACATCATATCACATTGTTTGAACGCTTGAAACCACGAAAAGACTGCAAACGCGCGGCTAATGCGAGCCGACATACTCCGAATCGCGATTCCGGCCAAACATGGTCTCGAAAAGTAGGTCACAGGTCAAAGGTCATTTGGGTCAGGGTCATGAAATTTTCATGATATGACCGTGTTCATGTAACTACGGATATTCTGGGCTCTCGAGAACGGAAGGGCTCTATTTTGAATACTGATGACGTCACATTTGTGTCGTGAGGTCACGAAAGGCCACAATTCCAAAGAGCCACACAATCTCATCCCCCCTCTCTCCCCCCAACCAATTGGTCGCGTTGTGATAGGTGTATATGTCAGCCTTTAGATAGGATTTTTGCGATACTTCATTTCCTCATTTGGTGTTTTACCTTTGTCTCAATGAATCAGGTACCAAGACGCCATGGCCATCGTGCGAGTGTACGGCAGGCCGACGTACTTCGTGACGTTCACCTGCAACCCAAACTGGCCTGAGATCCAGGCGGCGCTCCTGCCCGGCCAGGATGCGCAGTCCCGCCCCGATCTGGTGGCCAGGGTGTTCCACCTAAAGCTGAAGGCCCTGCTGAAGGAGCTCACCACCAGCGGCATCTTCGGACGCTGTGTCTCCATGCTGATGGTGGTCGAGTTCCAAAAACGAGGTGAGTAGGCACTAAAGGTTTGTGTTCGTGTGTGTGTGGGGGGGGGGGAGGAGGGAGTGTGAAGAAAACCAATACAGCTCATCATGCATCAATTTACGTCGTGTGCATAATTTTAGCGCTCAGGTCACTTAGGTCAGGTCGAACTTACAAGTCTAAACCGCAAGATTTTTTTCAGAATCGCAACATCTGCCCAGTTGCAATGAGCAAAGTGCAGCTTATGGCCAGCAGTGGCCCGAAAGGTCATGTTGGTTCATAAAAAGTCACCACATGACTTTGACCTGAAGTCAATTTTTTAAGGTCCTATTCTATCTCAATCGCCGCTTAAAACATTATTTACTTTCCCTGCAGGTCTGCCGCACGGCCATATCCTGGTCATCGTCCGGCAGGAGGACCGCCCGCGGACTGCCGACGATGTAGACGCGGTGATCACGGCGGAACTGCCCGACCCAGCCAGGTCAGACCAGGCGCGCCGCCTGCACGAGATCGTGGTGAGTACCATGGTACACCGCCAGTGCGGCGCCGCCAACCCGACGGCCGCCTGCATGGATGGCGGCCGCTGCTCCAAGGGCTTTCCCAAGCCGTTCGCCAACGAGACAGAGTGGCGGGATGACCATCCGTACCCTGTCTACAGGCGGCGACCGGCAGCCGAGGGCGGCCAGGAGTTTGTGCGTGACGGGCGGCTCATCACCAACCAGTGGGTGGTACCCTTCTCTCCATACCTGTCCCTGAAATATGAGGCTCACGTGAACGTGGAGGTGTGCTGTTCGGTGCAGAGTGTCAAGTATCTTTTCAGGTACATCTACAAGGGCCCGGACCGCCAGATGGTGCGCGCTGACAACCTGATCGGCGGCGATGACGAGATCGCAGAGTACCAGGACATGCGCTCGATCGGTGCCAGTGAAGCCTGCTGGCGTCTGTTCGACATGCCGATGAGCCAGCGGCAGCCGAACGTGGTCGCTCTACAGGTGCACCTCGAGGATCACCAGCTGGTGTACTTCGAGCCGGGACAGGAGCGGCAGGCGGCTCAGGCCGCCCGACGCACCCATCTCACCGCCTGGCTGGAGTATAACCGGGAGTCGGCCGCCGCCGACCCGGACTGCCGCCGACTGCTCTACCCGGACTTCCCGTCGCGGTATACCTGGCAGGCCGGCCAGAAGGTGTGGCGCAAACGGCGCCAACAGCAGGCGGCAGAGGCAATCGGCCGCGTGGTGAGCCTCTCACCACGTCACGGCGACGTGTTCTACCTCCGCGTGCTGCTGCACCACGTCGCGGGGGCGGCGTCCTTTGAGGAGCTGCGCACCGTGGACGGCGTGGTCTGTGCCACCTATCGTGAGGCGTGCTGCCTGCGTGGCCTTCTGCAGGACGACCGCGAGTGGGAGGTGACGATGGAGGACGCGGCGCACGCACAGATGCCGGCTCAAATCCGGCGCCTCTTCGTGACGCTGCTGCTCTTCTGCGCACCAGCCGATCCGTCAGAGCTGTTCCGGCGTCACCTGGACGCCATGTCTGATGACTTCGGCCGTCGTCATCGCGACCTGCCGGACGAGCTGCGCGCTGCACTAACACTGGTGGACCTGGAGCGGCAGCTACAGCAGGCCGGCAAAGAGCTCCGAGACTTCGGTCTGCCGGAGGTGACGCCCGATCAGCGGGCGCGGGCAGCTGAGCTGCAGCAGGCCGCCGAGCTGCGCCAGCTGCCGCGGCTCATTCAAGAGGAGCTGGAATATGACGCAGCAGCGCTCAGAGACCAGGTGGCCATCCAGCTGCCCACTCTGCTGCCGCCGCAGCGCCACGTCTTCGACCTGGTAATGACGGCCGTCGACGGGCGGCGTCCGCTGGCCGTGTTCGTGGACGCCGCTGGTGGCACCGGAAAGACGTACGTCTTCAACACGCTGCTGGCGGCGGTGCGCTCGCAGGGTATGGTAGCGCTCGCAGTGGCCTTCAGTGGAATTGCTGCCACTCTGCTGGACGGCGGGCGCACATACCACTCGCGCGTTTCAAGGCACCGCTGCAGGTGGACGCGACATCAACGTGCGCCATCAGCGCGCAGAGCCCGCTGGCGGAGCTCATCCGACGGACGGCGCTCATCGTGTGGGACGAGGCCCCCATGGCCCACCGTCACCACCTGGAGGCGTTCGACCGCACGCTGCGTGACGTCACTGGCAGCGAGGAGCCGTTCGGCGGAAAAGTCCTCGTGCTGGGCGGGGATTTCCGCCAAATTCTCCCAGTCATCAGGTAACTAACAACAACAGGCGTTCAGTGTGTGAGAAAAAAATGTATATACAATTATAATAGCTGTGGTACGTTGTTATTATTAGTGTGTAATTGAATGCAACTGATATAATGCTCTTCGGCCCAATCGCATTATTGCAGTTTAACATGTGAAATAAGTCGGAGCCATGAACATTCAACCGCTATGCCTTCAAAACGTATTCACTCATTTATATCGATGCCAGCGTCGTAAACACACTGCCGCAGCGGATTGATCGTAGACCGCATGCTTTGTGGTTTCTTTGGCTTCGCCCTGGTGGGAGGGGCTTTTTGACCACACTCGCCAGTTTACACTCACACTCGCCCACACAGTGAGCCCAGTAAAAATATGGGCTAAATTTGCTATGGCCGAAAATAAATCCATTGTGCATCGTGTGAGTTATTTCTTACATCCGGTCACATAAGGTCAACAGGTTTCCAGATTAAGATTAAGACGGGTCATCCAGCAGTTTTTGCGATAACTTTAAGTAAACATGTTAGAGCGATGCAAACACGTTAGTCAGATGGATTCAGTTAAACGATACAAATTGACAGTTATTATGACACATGACCTTTACCGGTAGGGTCACGACCTCGACCCTAGGTCAGATTTTGTAGTCGGTCTTTTGAGGTGAGATTATGCTTCATTTGACGCGTCTCAACGAGCGGAATGCGTCGCTGATAAAATCGACAATACAACCTTGATGAAAAGTTTCGCAGAAAAACGGTTCCCGAAAAAAATTTATGCTTTAGTTTTTCCCCTGTGGCTTAGACCCCCACCAGGGCGCCGGCTAAGCAGCCATTTCTTAGCATTAGTGGCCGTCTCGGCGCGTTTTATATGCAATTATTGTCCGTTTCAGGCACGGTACCCGCGCACAGGTGGTGGACGCCTGTCTGCGACGGTCAGCGCTGTGGCGTC